GCAGAATGGGGTTGCTGAGCGCCGCATTGGCTTGGTCATGGAGGTCGCTCGTACCTCCTTGATCCATGCGGCTGCCCCCCACTTTCTGTGGCCGTTTGCAGTCCGATACGCTGCGCATCAGCTCAACCTCTGGCCCCGTGTCTCCGTTCCGGAGACTTCGCCGACACTGCGTTGGACAGGAGAGGTTGGCGATGCGTCACGCTTTCGGGTCTGGGGATCTCGAGCCTTTGTTCGCGATACGTCCGCGGACAAGCTCTCCTCCCGCGCTGTTCCTTGTGTCTTCCTTGGCTTTGTCCCGGACGCGTCTGGTTGGCAGTTTTACCACCCCACCTCGCGCCGTGTCCTGCCTTCTCAGGACGTCACTTTCGACGAGTCCGTCCCCTACTACCGCCTCTTCCCCTACCGCACTGCCCCGCTTCCCCCCCCGCCTCTCTTCCTCGCGCCAGGTGCTGCTGTGGTAGACCCCCTCCCCCCTCAGGGTGCCGCTCCCTCAGGTGTGTCCCAGGTAGACCCGGTTGAGCCTGTCGAGGTAGCTGTCGACTCTCGTCCTGCTAGGGGTGCTGAGCCTGAGGGTGCTGAGCCTGAGCGTGCGGAGCCTGGGGGTGCGGAGCCTGGGGGTGCGGAGCCTGGGGTTGCGGAGTCTGGGGGTGCGGAGCCTGGGGTTGCGGAGTCTGGGGGTGCTGAGCCTGGGGGTGCGGAGCCTGGGGGTGCTGAGCCTGCGGGTGCTGAGTCTGGGGGTGCTGAGTCTGGAGGTGCTGAGCCTGGGAGTGCTACACCTAGAGGAGCTCTCTCCTCACAGCAGCTGCGTGAGTGGTACTTACAGTACTGCAGCCTCAGGAGAGGTGCTTCTGGAGCCAGGAGTACTGCTGGAGTTGGTGCTAGTGCTTCCCCTCCTAGGCGGGAGCTGCCCTCTCCCCAGCGGCTCCGAGAGTGGTACGCACGGCGCTCCAGTCTTCGGAGTGGCGCTCCTAGTGTCGTGGACCCAGCTGCTGGAGGTTCTGCTGCTGGCGGTGCTTCTGGCGCTGCTGGAGGTACTGCTGGTGCTGGAGCTGCTGGTGCTGCTGACGCTACTGGAGGTGCTGGTGGTGCTGGTGGTACTGCTGGTGCTGCTGGAGCTGCTGGAGGTGCTGCTGGTGCTGGGGTTGCTGGAGCTGCTGGAGGTGCTGCTTCTTCTGGAGGTGCGGCTGGTGCTGCGGCTCCGGGCGCTGGAGTTGCTGCTGGTGCTGCGGACCCTGGAGTCGGAGCTGCTGCTGGTGCTGCGGACCCTGGAGTTGGAGCTGCTGCTGGTGCTGAGGACCCTGGAGGTGGAGCTGCTGCTGGTGCTGAGGACCCTGGCGTTGGTGTCTCTGCTGGTTCTGGAGACGCTGCGCGGCCGCGGCCGTACTTCGTTCCGCTCCTTCAGCAGGTTCTTGGTCAGCCTCCTCCTCCTTGTCCTCCTCCCTCCTTAGAGTGTCCTCCGTCTGTCCAGTCGCAGTCACAGTTACCGTCTGACTCCCCTCTCCCTGGTCCTTCTCCTTACACTGGTCCGACTGGAGGTCTTGCGGAGCGTCGTGAGCCTGAGTCTCGTCCTGCGTCGCCTGAGTCTCGTCGAGCGTCGCCTGTTCGTGCTGCTCACACTGGTCGTCGTGTCCCGCGTCAGCGTCCTCCTGCTGTCCCAGGCACTCACCAGATGGCGCTTTGTCCTTCCACTGCTCCCCAGCGTGTCCCTCTCCCGTCTCCTCCTGCGTCCTCTCTTCCTGCTCTTGCTGACCCTGAGTCTGACTCCCTTCGTGCTGCCAGTCCTACTGTCACGCGTCTCCTGGCTACTGTTGTCACTGACCCTTCCTTTGAGTCCACTGCTGCGTCTGCCTTAGTTGCCGAGCTTGTCGACTTTGCTGCCACTTGTCGTCTAGACTACGCCGCTAGCCTAGTTGCTGAGTCTGAGTCTGTCTGTCCTCCGTCCGTCGGGGGTGAGTGTGCTCTTGGCACGGACGTCCTTGAGGACAGGCAGGAGGAGTTTGAGTGCTTTGCCGCTGCTTTACCTCATCTCGTGTCCATGCTAGTTGCCCCTGAGGGAGACCCGGATGCACCAGACATCCCGACTCCGCGCTCTTACGCAGAGGCGATAGAGGGTCCCTACTCCTCTCAGTGGCAGACAGCCATGGACGCAGAGATGGCTTCCTGGAAGTCCACAGGCACCTACGTCGACGAGGTTCCCCCACCTGGGGCGAACATCGTCAGTGGCATGTGGATTTTCAGGGTGAAGCGGCCGCCGGGTTCTCCGCCTTTCTTCAAGGCGCGTTACGTTGCACGAGGCTTCAGTCAGCGAGAGGGAGTTGACTTCTTCCAGACCTTCTCCCCGACCCCGAAGATGACCACTCTTCGGGTTCTGCTGCACGTCGCCGCTCAGCGTGACTACGAGCTCCACTCTCTTGACTTCAGCACTGCTTTCCTACAGGGCAGCCTGCACGAGGAGATCTGGCTGCGCCGCCCACCTGGCTTCACTGGGTCATTCCCTCCTGGTACCCAGTGGAGCCTCCGGCGGCCAGTCTATGGTCTCCGACAGGCACCACGTGAGTGGCACGACACACTGAGGACTACACTTGCGGCTCTTGGGTTCGCTCCTTCTACTGCTGACCCGTCGCTGTTTCTACGCACCGACACCTCGCTGCCGCCGTTCTACATCCTCGTGTACGTCGACGACTTGGTCTTTGCCACTGCTGACACTGCGGCACTCGCCCACGTGAAGTCGGAGCTGCAGAAGAGACACACGTGCACAGACCTGGGTGAACTGACAAGCTATCTTGGCTTGCGGATCACCCGGGACAGAGCACGGCGCACCATCACCTTGACTCAGTCACACATGGTGCAGCAGGTCCTTCAGCGCTTCCGCTTCACGTACTCCTTGCCTCAGCCCACTCCTCTGCCTACCGGTCACTCGCTCTCAGCTCTGCCTTCGGATGAGTCCGTAGAGCCGAGTGGCCCGTATCCAGAGCTTGTGGGCTGCCTCATGTACCTGATGACCTGCACTCGACCTGACCTTGCATACCCTCTTAGCATCCTTGCACGCTATGTCGCTCCTGGCCGTCACCGGAAGGAGCACATGGATGCCGCTAAGAGGGTGTTGCGCTACTTGTGCAGTACGTCGGGCATGGGGCTAGTGCTTGGAGGACGAGACCGAGTTGTACTCACTGGGCACTCAGACGCGTCTTGGGCTGACGACCAGGCTACTCAGCGGTCGTCTCAGGGTTACACCTTCAGCCTTGGCTCTGGTTCAGTTTCTTGGCGTTCTACACGCTCGTCTTCTGTACTCAGCTCCAGTTGTGAGGCTGAGATCTACGCCACAGCCATGGCTGCACAGGAGTTACGCTGGCTCACCTACCTGCTGACCGACTTGGGAGAGTGGCCTCGTTCTCCTCCAGTGCTGTACGTCGACAACAAGGCTGCCATTGCCTTGTGTGAGGAGCACAGACTGGAGCACAGAACGAAGCATATCGCTCTGCGCTACTTCCTTGCTCGAGAGCTGCAGCAGCGCGGTCAGCTTCGTCTGCGTTACGTGGCCACTCGGGCCAACACTGCTGATGTGTTCACCAAGGCGCTTCAGCCTTGTGACCATCAGCGCTTCTGTACTGTTCTAGGCCTCGTGCCTACTGGGCCTCACTTGCTTACTTCTTGACTCTGCTTGTACTGTGATCTCTGTATATATACCTGCTTGTTTACTCTTGCTAGGTTGTGATCACTGTATCTCTTGTTATACTATCAACCTGCATGTGAACTGGTCTTGTGACCACTTGCTTGTGCTCAGAATTTGTGTGGTTTCCTTGAGATCCACCCTGAGCTTGCTTTGCTTTGCTTTGACTGGTCTTGTGACCATCTGGTTGTCTCCCACTTAGCCTATGGGGGTGTGTCAAACATTATATGTTTATATTGTGTAGGCTATAGTGGGTTTAGCCTTAGGGGGTACAGCTTTGTTAGGGTTTCCTACTTGTATCCCCCTCCTACCTAGTTTCATGCATTCTCGTTCTATTCTAGATTCTAACAAAAACCTCGGGTGCGGCGTTTCCATCTGGTGCAAGGCAATTTCACGTGCAGGGGTTGGGCATCATGTGTACAACGGAAGTTTACCAGGGGAGAGTAGTGTCAGAATCCCAACCACTAGATCATTAAGATAAAAGGGCTTGTTAAGTAACGGGTCAGTGCGCCCATAATTACCTAGGACAACGAGCCTGTAACTTTTCCCTAGGATCAATCGGGGATCACCAGTGGACCTCTGACACCCCCAAGCACTGGGATGCCCGAAGTGCACTCACTGGGATTTGAACCCGGGTCCTTCGCTCTGATACCATGTCAAAATCCCAACCACTAGACCATTGGGATAAAAGGGCTTGTTAAGTAGCGGGTCAGTGCGCCCATACCCCCCAGGACAACGAGCCTGTAACTCTTCCCTAGGATCAACCGGGGATCACCAGTGGACCTCTGACAAGTAGCACTTCTCCGAACCAGTTGCAACACCAAACACGACGATTTGGAGGGACATTCAAACCTACACCATAGGTTCGAGTAACGCCCAAGCCAAACCACGGGAACCTGTTGATGGGCACACTCGCTGCTATCAACAAGGGCAGGAATGTACATGTTGGAGTTTATTGTAAAACACGTAGTAGCTATATATTTCTTGTGCAAGCCAACAGTAGATTTGGCATTTGTAATTTAGCCAGCTTGCAAGCCCTGGTGGCACCAACCCGTCAACGCAAAAAACATGCAGGGGCAAGGAGGTGCGACAAGGTTTTATGATGTGTTTGGTTTGACACTTTGTACCGTACTATGTCAAAGAGATTGGGTGGGGTTGAAGGCAAGTGAAATAAGTGTATAGAATGTGTCTAAGAAGCTGACAAATAGTGTACTGCTTCATTTCTTCAGATATTCAGGCTACCCTAGGAGAGACTAAAACTTGATTGAGAAGACATTTCCATGAGGAACTCTAATGCCACATTCAGCCCACCAACAGAAAATTGGTCCCCTTATGCAGCACCGACTCCATCCTCACCATCTTCACTTCCTTCTTCCTCCTGGTCCTCTTCCGCCTCGTCATCCTCATCACCCTCCTCATCCTCCTCATCACCATCCGCATCCTCATCATCCTCCTCATCACTTTCATCCTCTTCTTCCTCGCCTTCTTCAGATTCCTCTCCATCTTGACCTCCTTCCTCCACTGTCGCAAACCCCTCTGTGCCCTCCATCCCTCCCTCTCCCTCCTCTCCCTCTTCCACATCCCCCCTCCCATGAATCACCCAAGTCCTACGGTCCGAAAGCAAGGGGCACTTGCGGATCATGCACTGAATCAATTTCGGCATTTTTGAAAGAGACGACGGTAGCTGCTGCAAGCGCTCACAGTAGCACAGCCTCAGTTCCTCCAGCTGGGGCAGCTGCGAAAACGATTCAGGCAGGATCTCAAGGTTTGACAGGTTGATCAAAACCAAGTTCTGAAGGGAGCAAAGCCGCCAAAAGTCTTCAGGAATGTATGAGATCAGTGGGCAACTGGAAAGGGAAAAAGCTGTCAGCTTGGACAGATTAGGGAAGCTTCTCGGAAGACGGGCCAGTTTTGCGCAATCCTCGATTCCCAGCGACTAGAGCATGTTCAGCTGCCCGAAAGACTCGGGCAGCTCACGCAGGTTTTCAAGCCTAATCAGCTGCAGAGAAGCAAGCTTGGGAAGACTTCCTATTGAGTCTGGCAAGGCCTCCAAACTACTAGCATGAGAAATCACAAGCTCTTGCAGATTCGACAGCTCAGAGAAAGATTCTGGGAGAGAGAGCAGCGCATTCATTTCTATAAGCTCAAGGCTTGTCAGGGAGGAGAGACGGCTCAGGGACGGGCAGAGGGCTTTAATTTTAAGAGCCGTGAGTTTGAGAGTTTGCAAAGATGGAAGGAGCAGGTGCTCAGCACTCCTACTCGGCCCGCTGCTGCTGCTGCAGCTGCCATTCACACTACAGCTGCCGCTGCCACGGGTGATGCTACCAGTGGCGGCCCCTTGTCCCTGCTCCTGCTCAGCTGCTCCCACCGTTTCATCTCGAAACAAAGTTACAAGCCCCGTGCACCCCAGCACATGTAACTGCCGCAACGCGGGCAGCTGAAACAGCGACTTCGGGAGTGATTCCACACCGTATAACTTCGAGACCGTGAGCTCTTCAAGCCTTTCCAGCCGTCCAATCTCCTCAGGCAGCTCCTTTATTTCCAAACAGTTTGCCACTAACATGCTGGTGAGTGTGCGGGAGAGCCCGGGGAGTGACGAAGGGAAGGCTGAGAGGTGCGGCAAGGAGCACAGCCAGAGCTCCTTGAGGCTTTTCAAGCAGCCAAAGCCGTCAGGCAGGGGCCCTCTAAAGCTCTCTGCATTCAAGATTCTTAGGGTTTCGAGCGACGAGAGACTGGAGAAGGATGGGGGGAGATGAGTGAGGGCTTTGCAAGGAAGTAGGAGGAGTTCCCGCAGGCTGTAGAGGCCGTTTCCCATGTCATCTGGTAGAGCCGTGAGCCTCCGGTTCTCACTCACATCCAGCTTTTCAAGGGTAGATAGCTGGGATAGAGAAACGGGCAGCCGCTGCAATCTTGCGCACTTCACCACTTTCAGCTCATCAAGGTTGGTCAAGTTTCCAAGAAATTCTGGCAGGTGGGTGAGCTGTGGAAGGTTGGCCAGGCGGAGAGACTCAAGTGCCGTCAGCTGCCCGAATTCTTGGGGTAGGGATGTAATACTTCGGAGACCGTCAATGGCTAGCTCTCGGAGTGCAGAGGCCAGAGAGATGGAAGCAGGAAGGCTTGTAAGGCTCTGAGCATCCAGCATGAGGCTCTGAAGATTCGATAACTGCCCGATGTCATCGGGCAGCGTTGAAAGTGTTGGGAAGACCAGGTTGAGACCCGTGAGGGACGACACAGGAGAGATGGATCCGGGCAGCGACCACTTTCGTACTTCCTGGTAACCAGTTCTGATGAAACAAACCATGAGTTCGTCATGCAGAACGTCGGGAGCAACACGCTCTTCAGGTTGTTCTTTTGGAAAATCTCGAGACAACCTCCCCGATTGGGTTTGGCTCACCCATGCCATACATACCTCCCCATGAGTGAGCAGAGCACAGAAATCAATGTTCAGCTCCAAGCACAGAGCTGGTGATTATCTAAAAAATACGCACACACAGTTACCTCGAATTTGCAACTGCGCGCTCTTATTACTGTTGTATGCATCGTAATGAAGCGCTTGTCAGCGTCCGAAGCTTGAGTAGCCATGGTGATTGCATTGATGCTATGTTTTCAATCTGTCACTCTTGATGTCGTCGCTACCAGCAGTGCCGAGTCGCAAAGGCAGGGACCGCCCTTCTTATTGCTCGGGTACGGTATTCCCGCCATCCCTTCCAGCTGGGAGTGCCGCAGCGTGTATTATAACCGCATGCATTCGTTGCAGAAATGTCACTTTGGGTACAACCTTCCTCACACAACCCCAATCTGTCCATCTTCGAGTCGACATTGAAGGCCAGGTTCGAATTTTAATCGTTCACGAGCAATTTGTTTTTTAATGTGATAACTTATCGGTTTTCTTGTTTCAGAGATGGAGCTGGTCGTTAGAAATCAACGAGACGAGCTCGTACGCCTTCAAGTATGGCGGTTCCCAGTCTCCGTCAAAACGAGGCACATTGACAGTCCGAATTCCACACGGAAGTCAATTAACTCACGTCATCAGACATCCCTTTCCAGGTATGCTCGTCTCTCCCTGCACTAATAATTGTGACAACGGGTGTACCCTCTGAAAGTTATTTTCCATTTCCAGTCATGGGCGTCCAACGTTTGGACATTGATGAAAGTGATATTGACCCCGAGGAAGAAAGGCCTCTGTCAACGATCTGTAAGTCCCTTTGTTTCTGTTCTTGCAAGACGACTTGTACTAACTAATGCATGCAGCGTTACCAGAGACTAGCTCGCTTGTGCTTCTGTTTGATGGTCCTGCTTCTCTACCGATTTGCGCTGGAGAAGAGCTTACGGAAAGCTATTGGCCCATGAGTACAGTCCATGGTATGTGCACGAGCAGGAATTTGTTGATTTAACGAATCAGTTGGCTAATGTTCTCAACCAATTATTTTCCATCACGTGCCCAATGTTCAGTGCAATCCATCGTTTCCAGCCTAAAGCTCATTGATGATTTGACCTGCGAATGGAGAGAAGATTCTGAAAATCTCCATTCACTTTTTAGAATTGCCGGAGGCTTTCTGATGTGCCGCTACGTGTTATTCGGACTCACCTACATGGGAGTTGCTCAGACTGTTCAGTTGAAGGCTCATGCACCATGCAGTTCTGACACTGACATAAAATGGAAAACTGGCGCTATCCAGGCATGGCAGGATGCTCAAGGGAGGTTATTGGAGGCTGAGATGTCGCAGCCTGCTTGCTTCTACTACCTGTGCACCCCACTGAGTAACTGCACGATTGAGCTCAAGGGTTTGTTGAACCGGGATCCCAATGGCCGACTCGTGCGGCTGCCTTAGCGCAATGGGATGAACTGTTGTGTGTGTTTCTCTGTTGGAAGGGTGTGCCCCTAGTGAAGTGTATCTCCATGCAGTATTAACTTGTTTGTTACAATGGTTGGAAGTGTCAAACTATAATGCTGCTTATGTTGTGTAGGCTGTAGTGGGGCAGCCTATATGGGGTACAACCCAATTAGGGTTAGTACTTGTACCACATTTCTGATCAATGCACACATTTCCTGCTCGTTAGTTTCTGACATGGTTTCAGAGCAGTAGGTCCGTAGGACCGTTTTTTTTTTTTTTTTTTCCGGGCCCACCATTACCTAGTGACCGACTGCGGTTACCGTGTTACCCCATGCCCTGCCCTGCGCTACGTCGTCAGCGCGAGCCCTGCCCTGCCCTGCCTTGCGTCGCGCTGCCCCGCGCACGCCCTGCCCTGCTCTGCGCCGCGCTGCCCCGCGCATGCCCTGCCCTGCCCCCAGGGACGTCCCTAGGATCTAAGGGTGCCTGATGGAGCAGACGGGCCCTTCGGGCCCGTCTGCTTCATCAGTAGGATGAGTGATTCCCTGTCTGTTTGATCAGGAAATTTCAGAATCGATGTCTTTTTTGTCAGACCACAGTGCACTTGCATTTCTGTTTGCCTTTCTTTTTTGGAAGCACACTAGCATTAGCTGAAATCACTCACTTGTACAAGTTCAGTAGAACTATCACATGAGTATATTATTAAACTTCAAACTGGTTGTTACAACTACTCTACTCAGTATTAGAGTCTAGCGCCACTGTCGCACGAACATCAAGCCCATTATTATTCCCCTCATCGTCGTCATCATCACTGTCCGAGACGACTACAGCTGCACGTGCCTTGCCCTTCTTTGATGTCCTCCGCCTTACCACATCTTCCTCATCTTCGTCTTCATTGGAGGCAGCAGCTGTCGTTCCTCTCTCGGCCTTCCTCTTAGGGGCTCTCTCTGGAGTGCACTTCATCGTCACTTCCTTAGCAAGGCGCCTCTTCTTTGCCACCCTCCAAGCAGCCACCACCTCGTCCCAGTTCGGCTCGTACTGCAGGAGCGACATGGACATCAAATCCGCCAGGCGTGTGTTGCACAGATTATCGCGGAGCCGGGATTTGATGATATTCTGCCTCGAGAAGCCGCGCTCACACTCGACGGTGCTCAGCGGCAGCACGGCGAGAGCGATCCAGATGCGGACCATGTTGGGGTAGCTCGTCTCCCAATCTTCACTGCGCAACATGTGCTTGAGGCCGGCGTGGAATGTCTGGTCCTTGTACTGCGAGGCCATCATCTTGGTGAACGGCACAAGCTCCCGTCCCGCCTTTTTCCAGCTCACTCCTGCTCAGGCACAGTAGCAAGTACAAGAGGGGGCGACGAGGGGAGGTAAGTACCACGAAGCATAACACCGAGTTTGTAACACTGATGCACTCTACGGACAACCACCTACCTGGAAGTACGCACTTCTCCGCGCTGAACAACTCGCGGAGAGACTGGAACCAGGCTGCGCAGTGGCGGTCTCTCTTCGCGCTACCATCGGGGTACGCGTCTGGCAGAAAAAGCTTCGATCCGCTGAGGGTGTCTAGGCTCTCCATCCGCTTCAGGAGGTGCTTCACAACTTCCTGTGCAAAAAGGGAGGTTGCAGTGATGCAAGATTCATTATCACCCTTGGACTTCTGACCCTTGATGGCGTCTTCGTGCAGCTTGAAAGTGTGGGTGACGGGACTTCCCTCCCCATCCATGCCTTTGACAGTCACCTCCCGCTTGTTCAACGGTCCATTCTTCTCCAAGAACTCAGTCAGCAACTCGCTATCCTCAGCGTAGTTGACGCCATGCTCGATGTATCGTTGCTTCAGCTTGTTGCACGTGTTGTGGACCATGGATGCCACCCGGGTGATGTCCACCTGCACACGGCAAAAAATGGTAGTCAGAGACGTTCGTATGAAACAACATAAGCACTGACATCGCAAGTGCTCACCGTGCGCCGTTGAAACTTGAGGTTCAGCTCGTTTAGCAGTTTCAGCACATCTGCCAGGAAAAAGAGGAAGAAGTGAAACTTGAAGCTTGTGACTGTCGCGTATGCTTTCTTGTCGTGCTCCCACAACACAACTATTGCCGCCGGTAGGACTGCCACGAGCCTCCGAATCGCATCGGCACGCGCCAGCCATCTGACGTCTTTAATCCCCTGCACCTCCAGAGACGTCTCGTGCAGGATGTGCTGGAGTTCCATGAATCTCATGAATCTTGAGTGCAAGACGATGCTCCTCCCCAAGTTTTCTGTGACGCTCCGCACGACCGAGTCGACCATGTTGAGGTCTAGCACGGCTTCCGCCACGTCCTTCGCGGCGAGAGCCTCCCTGCATGTGTGCGAAATCATAGGGACAGAACACGTGTGCAACGAGTGCGACATCAGAAGCATAAACAATCAACACACAAATGATGATAACGGACCTGTGAGCGATGCAGTGGCACGTCACCAGGTGCGGGACTCGCAGTTTCAGCTGTGTCGCCACTCCGGCCTGAGAACCCCGCATCACGCTCACGCCATCCGTACTTATGTCCGACAGTTTCATGATGTCGACGCTCGTGACGGCCAAATGGGCGAAAAGAACCGTCAACAGAGACGACGCGTCGCACTTCTCGACCGTCAAGTGCCCAAACAGCTCGGTGACGACCTCTGCGTCGCGAATGAAACTCAGATAGACGATCATGTGCTTGCCTCTGCGACGGTCGGTGCTCTCGTCGAGTTGAATGCCTAGGAACGGAGACTCCTGGATGTGGCGCATCTGCTGCTGCTTGAGGTTGATGACGATCGCTTCGGTTATTTCACGAAAGCCGTACCTGCACGTCACAGTCAAGGTGGTATTAGTCGTAGTGACTTTAGAAACACAAACCAAGAACATATCAGCACTCACGCTGACTGGTATGTCCCTATGGCCTTGTCCGGGATGTGAGGCGTCTGAAGCTCGGCCAACAAGCGAACAAGATCGACAAAAAGGGAGATGGGGGAATCGGATTTGCAGATAAATAGCACAACCAGCATAAGTTGTTTTAGCCGCGACGTCTCGTTGTCGTCGTTCTCGTATTCCTCAATGCCCCGTTGGTCAACCTTACCGCCTTCTGCGCGAAGCTTGGCATTGACGGCGTCCTGGTGCTTCCTGCTGAGAGCGTGCTTCCGCATCGTTTGCCGCGGGATATCAACGCCACCGTCGCCAAGTCTACCAAACTTCCAATGGGCAGGACCGTGAGCCATGCATATGCTGCACTTCATGCACGGAGTCCCATCCTTCCTCTGCGTGATAATCAGCCACTTAAATTTATCCTTCCAATATTCCTTCGACAGTTCGTGCATTTTCTCCATTAGAGCGTTTGGATCAGGGAGATGGATGGTGCTCCTAGACGGCCCAGGATCACTTGTCGGATGGGCGGCCGGAGGAGTTGATGAAGCATCTACTCTAGGCGCTGTGGTGGGGCGTGCCACGATGCGGACGTGTGGAACCCCCGTCTTAGCAATCCGCAGAGTGCTCTGGGTAAATCGGCCTGCTGTGGGGAAATGGGGGACGGCAGTACCACGTGACGAGCTAGGCGCCGCTTGCGATCTACGCTTCGCAGTATTCCGAGTAGAAGAACTAGGGGAGACGGGTCGTGTGCTGCTGAAAGCCCATCTAGCATTAACAGCAGGCCATGAAATAGGAGTAACATCCTGGCGATTCGGGGAAGAAGCTAATGGAACGCGAGTCGGCGAAGACGAGCCTAACACGGCGGCAGGCTGGGAGCGTCGTAGGAAATCTAGGCCAGTGACTGGTGAATTGGGCCGTGGGGTGGGTGATTCAGCAGCTTCCGCGTCGTCCGCCATGGCTGGAAGACGGACTAACGGGAAACGGGAGAGAATCAGCGTAATTGCGTTGAAAATGGCTGGGTCGGGCGTTTGAAAGAGACGCTTGGAGAAGAAGGACCCCCCAAAACCCCAACGCCCGAATGCACACCCCAGTTGACGAAGCGCGCATTGCTGTACAAAACTGTGGGTGGCACCACTTGACTGTGGTGATCCCGTAGCGCGCTTCTTGAATCTTCTGCAAGCGCCGAATTTGAGGGTATGTGGTGCTGGATTGATGATTGTTGTACAAAACTGACCAATCCATCTCTTGTGACAGGCCACGTACGACAGAAATAGTCCTGCGTGGGCAAGTCGTGACGCAGACACCATGTGAGTACAGCGTATAACGTGACCGTTTGCCTGTTGCAGCAGCACTTTTTGCATGTGGTGGCGAAAGATACGCGTAGGAGCACGGGCCGCGAAATGTTTGATGTATAAATTCCGGTAATCAATGGACACCCACACCACGCCTTGTTCACGCGTGAATCACGCCCAAGGGAAGAATAATCCAGTAACAGACGAAACCGGAAAGTGTTTCTGATGAATCAGAGGAACATGGAAAATGTAATTGATGGATCAGATACAGAGGATATTCATTTCTGAATGAACAGATTTCACCAAATGCAAATTTCTGAAGCATCAGATTAAACCAAAAAAGACATTCGAATGTAGGACAAACAGACCAAAAAATTCTGCTAGCGACAACCCTGCCTGCCCCACACACGCCCTGCCCTGCCTTGCGTCGCGCTGCCCCGCGCACGCCCTGCCCTGCCCCGCGTCGCGCTGCCCCGCGTACGCCCTGCCCTGCCCCGCGTCGCGCTGCCCTGCGCACGCCCTGCCCTGCCCCGCGTCCTGCTGCAGCCCGCGCCCTGCTGCAGCCCGTGTGTCGCGCCCTGCTGCCCTGCGCGTCGCGCCCTACGGCAGCCCGCGCGTCGCGCTCTGCTGTCCCGCACGTCGTCTTAAGAACTACGCAAGAACGATGTGTGATTAGGTCAAGGTAGGGGTACAAAACTAGAGTGTCGAGATGATTTGTGTACCCCCTAAGGCTAGCCCCAATATAGCATAGATAATAATATGCATATGCTTTGATACACTCCCATAGGCGAAGTGGGGGATAGCCAGAGCAAGCAATGGTGACAAGACCAGTCAAGAGAAGAAACAAAACACAGCTCATGGTGGATCACAAAGTCACCACACACACTGAGCACAAACAAAAGGCCACAAGGACACTTCACATGCAGAGGTATATATGTAACAACAACAGCACAGTGATCTCTACCTAGTAGAGCAAGCATACAGGTATGTATATAGATCACAGTACAAGCAAAGACTACAGCAAGTGAAGAAACGTGGGCACAAGGCCTATCAAAGTGCAGAAACGCTGATGATCACCAGACGGAAGTGCCTTGGTGAATATATCAGCAGTGTTGGTCCGAGTGGCCACGTGAGCAAGACGAAACTGACCACGCTGCTGCAACTCTCGAGCAAGGAAGTAAAGCAGAGCGATGTGCTTCGTTCTGTGCTCCAGTCTGTGCTCCTGACACAAGGCAATGGCGGCCTTGTTGAAAACGTACAGAACTGGAGAAGAACGAGGCCGCTCTCCCGGGTCGGTCAGCAGGTAGGTGAGCCAGCGTAACTCCTATGCAGTCATGGCTGTGGCATAGATCTCAGCCTCACAACTAGAGCTGAGAACAGAAGACGAGCGTGTAGACCGCCAAGAAACAGAGCCAGAGCCAACACTGAAGGTGTAACCCTGTGACGACCGCTGCGTAGCCTGGTCGTCAACCCAAGAAGCGTCCGAGTGCCCAGTGAGGACAACATCGCTCCTTCCTCCAAGCACGAGCCCCATGCCTGATGTACTGCACAAGTAGCGTAACACCCTCTTAGCGGCCTCCATGTGCTCTGGTCGGTTTCTCCCGGACGCAAGGTAGCATGCCAGGATGCTACGAGGGTACTCAAGGTCAGGACGAGTGCAGGTCATCAGGTACATGAGGCAACCAACTAGCTCTGGGTAAGGACCATTCAGCTCTACAGACTCGTCGGAACGTGGAGCTGAGAGCGAGTGACCTGTAGCCAGAGGAGTGGCCTGTGCTGAGGACCAGGTGAAGCCGAAGCGCTGAAGGACCTGCTGCACCATGTGTGACTGAGTCAGTGTGATGGTGCGGCGTGATCTGCAAGCCAAGGTAACTGCGCAGCTCACCCAGGTCTGTGCACGTGTGTCGTTTCTGCAGTTCCGACTTCACCAGGGCGAGAGCCTCAGTGTCAGCAGTGGCAAAGACCAAGTCGTCGACGTACATGAGGATGTAGAACGGCGGCAGCGAAGTGTCTGTGCGCAGAAACAGGGACGGGTCAGCAGTCGAATGAGCAAACCCAAGAGCCGCAAGTGTAGTCCTCAGTGTGTCGTGACACTCACGTGGCGCCTGGCGGAGACCGTAGACCGGCCGCCGGAGGCTCCACTGGGTACCAGGAGGAAACGACCCAGTGAAGTCAGGCGGGCGGCGCAGCCAGATCTCCTCGTGCAGGCTGCCCTGCAAGAAAGCTGTGCTGAAGTCAAGAGAGTGAAGCTCGTAGTCACGCTAAGCGGCAACGTGCAGTAGCATCCGAAGAGTGGTCATCTTCGGGGTGGGAGAGAAGGTATGGAAGAAGTCAACTCCCTGTCGCTGACTGAAGCCTCGAGCAACGTAACGAGTCTTGAAGACAGGCGGAGAACCTGTCGGCCGCTTCACCCTGAAAATCCAGATGCCGTCGACGATGTTCGCCCCGGGAGCTCATGAGTTTGTCCTACTTCGTGAAGCTCATGAGTTTGTCCTACTTCGTGAAGCTCATGAGTTTGTCCTACTTCGTGAAGCTCATGAGTTTGTCCTACTTCGTGAATCTCATGAGTTTGTCCTACTTAGTGAATCTCATGAGTTTGTCCTACTTCGTGAAGCTCATGAGCTTGTCCTACTTCGTGAAGCTCGTGAGTTTGTCCTACTTCGTGAAGCTCATGAGTTTGTCCTACTTCGTGAAGCTCATGAGTTTGTCCTACTTCGTGAAGCTCATGAGTTTGTCCTACTTCGTGAAGCTCATGAGTTTGTCCTACTTCGTGAAGCTCATGAGTTTGTCCTACTTCGTGAAGCTCATGAGCTTGTCCTACTTCGTGAAGCTCATGAGCTTGTCCTACTTCGTGAAGCTCATGAGTTTGTCCTACTTCGTGAAGCTCATGAGCTTGTCCTACTTCGTGAAGCTCATGAGTTTGTCCTACTTCGTGAAGCTCATGAGCTTGTCCTACTTTGTGAAGCTCATGAGCTTGTCCTACTTCGTGAAGCTCATGAGTTTGTCCTACTTCGTGAAGCTCATAAGCTTGTCCTACTTCGTGAAGCTCATGAGCTTGTCCTACTTCGTGAAGCTCATGAGCTTGTCCTACTTCGTGAAGCTTATGAGCTTGTCCTACTTCGTGAAGCTCATGAGTTTGTCCTACTTCGTGAAGCTCATGAGTTTGTCCTACTTCGTGAAGCTCATGAGTTTGTCCTACTTCGTGAAGCTCATGAGTTTGTCCTACTTCGTGCCTCGCTGGTCCCTAAGCCAACAACCCCGTGTCACTACCCACGAATCCAACCCCACCCCAGGTTCTACAGTACTTCTAAAAACTTAACTACACACATACACGCAAGCAGCTGAATGTATTACACTCACCAATATATTATGTGAGAAGAGTTTTGAGGCGCATCATAACGAGACGAGTTCTGAGGCGCCTCAAACGCAACTCACGGACCATTCTTACCTGAATGCTCAAGTGGTGTGAGACGAGCTCTGAGGCGCCACAAAATGAGACAAGCTTCGCGGCAACTCCTATTGCAACGACTTTCGCGACAACTCCTATTGCAACGACTTTCGCGGCAACTCCTATTGCAACGACTTTCGCGGCAACTCCTATTGCAACGACTTTCGCGGCAACTCCTACTGCAACGACTTTCACGGCAACTCCTATTGCAACGACTTTCGCGGCAACTCCTATTGCAACGACTTTCGCGGCAACTCCTATTGTGACAAGTTTAGAGGCGCCTCAAACACAACGCACGGACCCCCCTCACCTGAATGCCGAGGCGGTGTGGGAAGTGGGCGAGGTTAGCATGAAAGACAGCCGTGATCTCGTCCCATAATTGGTTGTCTGGGTGCAACAGGTAGCGTGCCACGTGCGTGAACACACGCCCGTCTAGGAAAAGCTCGTTGAGCCGTGCCTGCACAGAGGATGGGTAGGGCGAAGGGAGGGTGAGTTTGGCCCACTGCTGGTTGTCTGGGTGCAACAGGTAGCGTGCCAAGTGTGTGAACACACGCCCATCCGGAAAGAGCTCGTTGAGCCGTGCATGCGCAGTGGATGGATGGGGGGAGGGAGAACAAGAGTAGAGGAGAGCGCACACACAAGCACACACATCCACGCCTGGTTGTTTGGTTGGAACAAGAGTGGATACGTGGGTGGGTGGGAGGGAGGGTCAGTGAGCAATAAAGCAATGATTCGGTGCTGACCTAGCATGGGGAACGATCAAGTCATTGCTATTTGAACAACCTAGAGCGCAATGGAGGATGGGACTTTAGAGAATTCTCTAAAGTCACATCAACATAGGGAACAATCAAGTCGTTGCTCTATGAATGAACGACCTAGAGCGCAGTGGAGAATGGGTACGGAGGAACGAAGCGACTTTGAGTCGAATCAGAATGAGGGGAGTTTTGATTCACCTAAATACATTGCGACTTTGGAGTCGACTCAAAAGGAGGCTCACAACGAAGCAGGGGACGTAGTAGAGGGAGGGAAGGAAGTAGGCATCGATGTTTGCGAACCAGAAGTGTGTGTATGAACGTCCAGTGGATCTATGAGGGACGACGACGTGGCGGCTCGCACACAGTGAAGGAGAGGACGAAGTGGAGGCTCACAGCGAAGGCGGGGACGTAATAGAGGGAGGGAAGGAAGTAGGCATCGATGTTGGTGAACCAGAAGCGTGCCGCACCCATGATGCCCCACAACAGGCCGCAGAACTCCCCTCGCACCCTGCAGGCATCAGGCATGGGGCAAAGCGTTTTCTCAAGCGCTTATTTCACACGCTGCTGCTCCTTCACTAGAAACTCCGCTCACACCCTGCACTGCATGTACTTCACGCCTGCGGCATGGCAGGAATGGATGGATGGCAGCATGTGATATGGTCGCTAAACCTCTGCTCGCATCCTGTCTGCATTGCATGCATGGGGCATGGCAGGAATGGATGAATGGCACATGTGATTTGATTTGGTCGCAAAACCCTCCGCCCACACCCTGCAAGCAGACACGCATGGGGCATGGCAGGGATGGATGGCATCATGTGAGACAGCATGCGTGCTGTGGCATCAGAATGCAGGATGGAAGGGATGCAATGCGGTCGTAAATCTTTCGCCGGTGATGACTTTTGAGTCGACTCAACAGATGGAAGGGATGCGACCCAGTCGTTGAATTTCCGCCCGGACCCTGAATGCATGCATGTACCATGCACGCACGATATTTTGGGGGAAGCATGTAGAATTCTCAAAAGTGCACGTAGCTTGCACGAGTGACGATGGCAGGGGGAAGGGACGGCAGGGACGGCAGGATGGCAAGGAGAGCAGGGACGGTGACGTGAGGTATCTCAACCAGTTATGGCATGGTGTGGGGCATGTGCAAAATGAGAACGCCAGTAGAAAGCAGAGACGGCAGTGCATGTGACATAGTTAGTTTGCTTTTTTTTTTTTGTTTATGTCTCATGTGACGTGGTATGTTGCAACGCAGGTCCAGACAAACAGCCACCCACCTGTGGCTCATGTCCAGCCAAACGGTGCCATTCTCTTGCACCCGCCTCCTTATATTCCCCGATGCCCCATTGCCCCGCCAGTACAGCTGGCTGGCCAATACACTCATGTTCAGCTTCGGCTGCTGCAGCACGGTTGACAACAACAGGCTGAACGAGCGTTGTGGGGGAGAGGGGGGGATGGGGGGGAGGGGAGAGAGAAGGAAAAACAACAGCGCTGTTGACATACAGCAAATTGAAAGGAAGAAGACGAAGAAGAAAAGACTTTTGAGGCGCCTCAAGATAAAGGAAAAACAGCAGCACTGTTGACACCAGCGAATTGAGAGAAAAGAAGAAGATGAAGAAATAAAAGAACCCATCATGTGTTGACAAACTATACAACAGGAGCCTCTGTGTGAACTTTGGTTGGGGGAGGGGGGGGGGGGGGAGGAAGGACGGACGGCGCCACTTTTGAAAGCTCTCAATAATAGAACAGCAACCGCTCGTTCACTTTTGCAAGCGACTCTAGAGTCACTCAACCTGCAGGCCGCTCAGTCACTTTTGAATGTGGAGCTTCAGGCCATGCTAGCACTGCCTGCAGCAACAACAATTTGTGTGGAGCTTTGAGACGTCTCAAAGCAGGGACGGTGATTTTGAAAATGTGGGCGACCACCTCAGCACTGTCTGAATCTGTCTGCACGTTGTGACTTTAGAGTCGACTCAAAAGACGTCTCAAAGGCACGGACGGTGAATGGTTGACATTCTGCTAAGCAGAATGTGGATATTGAGGTCTTCGCCTTAGCACTTCCACTGCCTGCAACAGCAATCTGAGTGGACACAATGCGTGCGGGGAGGGAGGTAGAGCATGGAGGAAGGGAGGTGAGGGGGGATGCAGGAGGCAAGGCAGGGGAGGGAGGGTTCACGCAGGGACAAGTTTGCAACGTTCCATGTGCGTGTGATTGAGATAGCAGCATGAGGGGTTTTAGTGGCGTTGGCCTGTGGCTGTGCGACCAGCTGCTGTGCGCCTTGCACTGCACTGGTGGGCCCACCTCTCTGTAACCCAGCACACCGCTCTGTGACCCACCCACCTCTCTGTAACCCAGCACACCGCTCTGTGACCCACCCACCTCTCTGTAACCCAGCACACCGCTCTGTGACCCACCCACCTCTCTGTAACCCAGCACACCGCTCTGTGACCCACCCACCCCTCTGTAACCCAGCACACCGCTCTGTGACCCACCCACCGCTCTGTAACCCAGCACACCGCTCTGTGACCCACCCACCTCTCTGTAACCCAGCACACCGCTCTGTGACCCACCCACCTCTCTGTAACCCAGCACACCGCTCTGTGACCCACCCACCTCTCTGTAACCCAGCACACCGCTCTGTGACCCGCCCACCTCTCTGTAACCCAGCACACCGCTCTGTGACCCACCCACCTCTCTGTAACCCAGCACACCGCTCTGTGACCCACCCACCCCTCTGTAACCCAGCACACCGCTCTGTGACCCACCCACCGCTCTGTAACCCAGCACACCGCTCTGTGACCCACCCACCTCTCTGTAACCCAGCACACCGCTCTGTGACCCACCCACCTCTCTGTAACCCAGCACACCGCTCTGTGACCCACCCACCTCTCTGTAACCCATCACACCGCTCTGTGACCCACCCACCTATCTGTAACCCAGCACACCGCTCTGTGACCCACCCACCTCTTTGTAACCCAACACACCGCTCTGTGACCCACCCACCTCTCTGTAACCCAGCACACCGCTCTGTGACCCACCCACCTCTCTGTAACCCAGCACACCGCTCTGTGACCCACCCACCTCTCTGTAACCCAGCACACCGCTCTGTGACCCACCCACCTCTCTGTAACCCAGCACACCGCTCTGTGACCCACCCACCTCTCTGTAACCCAGCACACCGCTCTGTGACCCACCCACCTCTCTGTAACCCAGCACACCGCTCTGTGACCCACCCACCCCTCTGTAACCCAGCACACCGCTCTGTGACCCACCCACCTCTCTGTAACCCAGCACACCGCTCTGTGACCCACCCACCTCTCTGTAACCCAGCACACCGCTCTGTGACCCACCCACCTCTCTGTAACCCAGCACACCGCTCTGTGACCCACCCACCTCTCTGTAACCCAGCACACCGCTCTGTGGCCCACCCACCTCTCTGTGACCCACCCACCTCTCTGTGGCCCACCCACCTCTCTGTGACCCACCCACCTCTCTGTGACCCACCCACCTCTCTGTGACCCACCCACCTCTCTGTGACCCACCCACCGCTCTGTGACCCACCCACCTCTCTGTGACCCACCCACCTCTCTGTGACCCACCCACCTCTCTGTGACCCACCCACCTCTCTGTGACCCACCCACCTCTCTGTGACCCACCCACCTCTCTGTGACCCACCCACCTCTCTGTGACCCACCCACCTCTCTGTGACCCACCCACCTCTCTGTGACCCACCCACCTCTCTGTGACCCACCCACCTCTCTGTGACCCACCCACCTCTCTGTGACCCACCCACCTCTCTGTGACCCACCCACCTCTCTGTGACCCACCCACCTCTCTGTGACCCACCCACCTCTCTGTGACCCACCCACCTCTCTGTGACCCACCCACCTCTCTGTGACCCACCCACCTCTCTGTGACCCACCCACCTCTCTGTGACCCACCCACCTCTCTGTGACCCACCCACCTCTCTGTGACCCACCCACCTCTCTGTGACCCACCCACCTCTCTGTGACCCACCCACCTCTCTGTGACCCACCCACCTCTCTGTGACCCACCCACCTCTCTGTGACCCACCCACCTCTCTGTGACCCACCCACCTCTCTGTGACCCACCCACCTCTCTGTGACCCACCCACCTCTCTGTGACCCACCCACCTCTCTGTGACCCACCCACCTCTCTGTGACCCACCCACCTCTCTGTGACCCACCCACCTCTCTGTGACCCACCCACCTCTCTGTGACCCACCCACCTCTCTGTGACCCACCCACCTCTCTGTGACCCACCCACCTCTCTGTGACCCACCCACCTCTCTGTGACCCACCCACCTCTCTGTGACCCACCCACCTCTCTGTGACCCACCCACCTCTCTGTGACCCACCCACCTCTCTGTGACCCACCCACCTCTCTGTGACCCACCCACCTCTCTGTGACCCACCCACCTCTCTGTGACCCACCCACCTCTCTGTGACCCACCCACCTCTCTGTGACCCACCCACCCAACCCACCCACCTCTCTGTGACCCACCCACCTCTCTGTGACCCACCCACCTCTCTGTGACCCACCCACCTCTCTGTGACCCACCCACCTCTCTGTGACCCACCCACCTCTCTGTGACCCACCCACCTCTCTGTGACCCACCCACCTCTCTGTGACCCACCCACCTCTCTGTGACCCACCCACCTCTCTGTGACCCACCCACCTCTCTGTGACCCACCCACCTCTCTGTGACCCACCCACCTCTCTGTGACCCACCCACCTCTCTGTGACCCACCCACCTCTCTGTGACCCACCCACCTCTCTGTGACCCACCCACCTCTCTGTGACCCACCCACCTCTCTGTGACCCACCCACCTCTCTGTGACCCACCCACCTCTCTGTGACCCACCCACCTCTCTGTGACCCACCCACCTCTCTGTGACCCACCCACCTCTCTGTGACCCACCCACCTCTCTGTGACCCACCCACCTCTCTGTGACCCACCCACCTCTCTGTGACCCACCCACCTCTCTGTGACCCACCCACCTCTCTGTGACCCACCCACCTCTCTGTGACCCACCCACCTCTCTGTGACCCACCCACCTCTCTGTGACCCACCCACCTCTCTGTGACCCACCCACCTCTCTGTGACCCACCCACCTCTCTGTGACCCACCCACCTCTCTGTGACCCACCCACCTCTCTGTGACCCACCCACCTCTCTGTGACCCACCCACCTCTCTGTGACCCACCCACCTCTCTGTGACCCACCCACCTCTCTGTGACCCACCCACCTCTCTGTGACCCACCCACCTCTCTGTGACCCACCCACCTCTCTGTGACCCACCCACCTCTCTGTGACCCACCCACCTCTCTGTGACCCACCCACCTCTCTGTGACCCACCCACCTCTCTGTGACCCACCCACCTCTCTGTGACCCACCCACCTCTCTGTGACCCACCCGCCTCTCTGTGACCCACCACCTCTCTGTGACCCACCCACCTCTCTGTGACCCACCCACCTCTCTGTGACCCACCCACCTCTCTGTGACCCACCCACCTCTCTGTGACCCACCCACCCCTCTGTGACGGGCCCGACGGTCCAGGAGGCGTTGGCGTGGGCGAAGGGGTTGCAGAAGCGGCGGGTGAGGAAGGCGTTTGGCGGCGCGATGATGGCCCGGTTGGTGAGGACACCCAACACGAATGAGATAACGTACGATGTTATCCTGTTGCCTACACCTGCACGCATCAAATCAGATCAGATCAGATCAGATAACACAGGATCAGATCAGGTGAGACCACAGAAGAGGTATCTTGTTCTTGACTCTTGCGAAATAAGTTCACTTTTGAGTCGACCCAAAATGGCCATTTGCGCAAGAGGGCTTGGGGCGGGAATGATTGGCTTGCTTGGTAACACATCCCAGCCCTCATTCGCCCCCCAAGCCCTCATTCTCTCCCCAAGCCCTCATTCTCTCCCCAAGCCCTCATTCTGGCAGCGAGGTTGAGAAGAAGGGAGGTGTTATCTGGCAGTGAGGTTGACAAGAGGAAAGGTGTTATCTGGCAGCAAGGTTGGGGCTCCTAAACAAATAGCCTGCAGGCCATGCACGTACTCACTAAGAACATACCCCTGTTTATATCATTAATCGCAATGTAGCGGCATTGCTTCCTCTCGCGGCCATATCGAGGAATCGTCTCGTTCCTGGTGAAACACGTGGGATGGATTGTGGGATTCGGGCGAAAGAAAAGAAAAACAGGTAAAACGAGAAAAAAAAAATAAAGGAACATAAAGAGAAGGTGGTTGTGTCAAAATGCATGGAAAATTTGAATTTGTTTCCGCAAACGTTATGAATACTGTGAATGTCAATTGGGGGGAGGGAAATTGAAGTGGGTGAAAATTACACACCATGACGTGTCCTTACCACACCACGTGTTATCATTCCACGTGCCTTTAACATATCACATGCCCTTATCACACCACATGCCCTTATTGCACTGCGTGCCCTTATCACAACCCATGCCCTAATAACAACCCATGCCCTTGTCACACCATGTGCCCTTATCACAACCCATGCCCTTATAACAACCCATGCCCTTATCACACCACGTGCCCCCATCATACCACATGGCCTTGTCTTTGACCCATTGCCAGCTGTCCCCCCCTTCCAACCCCACACACTCCCTCTGAACGCTACTGACGGAGGGGACGTGTTGGCCTGGATGGGAGTGGATCGCATAGGATGAGATGAGATTGTGATCAAGTAAACATGAGTTCTGTAGCTTTCCAAAGTACCGTATTCTGTGCTCAACATATCACACCAACCGCACGATTCCCCAACATAACCTGTGCTACAGATGCCCCGCCCCATGACATATGCTTGATGCCTACTCTCCGCCACCCTATAACATGTAATACAGATGAATTCCCCTTCCATCCCATGTGCTACAAATGTATTCCCCCCCTCTTCCCTCCTCACCCCCCAACATACTCTGCGCTGCCGGTACATTCCCCCACAGATCAAGTGCTACAGGTGCCGCTCGCTCACACATCCATATACTATTACCGTGTGCTACAGACGCCTCCCTCGCATCATACCATACCGTGTGCTACACATGTTTCTGTGTGCTACACATGTTTCTGTGTGCTACACATGTTTCTGTGTGCTACACATGTTTCTGTGTGCTACACATGTTTCTTTGTGCTACACATGTTTCTGTGTGCTACACATGCATCTCTTACGCCATACCGTGTGGTACAGGTGTTGTTCCTGTTGGCTCCAGCAGGAGTCAGCCGTGCGGTGCTGCATCTGCCGCCACGCCACAGATGCATTGAACCTGGACGGCGGGTTCGGCAGCTCAAACCTCTGCCCACCGGGGCCACCATTGCCCATAGTAAACCCCTTCTCACTGTCGCTATTCTCGTTGCGACGGCCGTCAGGATCACTATAACGGGTGGCGCTATAAGGAGTATCAGTGCAGCCAGCGGTATCAGTGCCTGCAGCCGCGGCAGGGCTGTCAGGGTCAGGGGGAGGAACCATGGAGGAGAGAGTCGCTGACCAAGGGTCAGGGCCTGAGGCAGGGCTGTCAGGGGTAGGGCTGTCAGGGGTAGGGCTGTTAGGGGTAGGGCTGTCAGGGGTAGCACTCAGGGAGGAGAGGGTGGTCGCTGGAAGCACCGTCAGCATCAGAGACGGCTGGGAGTGAAAACACAAGGGGGGGAGGAGGAGTGGGGGCGGGGAAGGGAGGAAGGGAGGACATGGGGTGGGGTAAGTCAAGGAGGGGGGTGGGGAAGGGGCGAGTGTAAGGTGTGTAGGGACTACTACTGCTGCCAGCCTGTCAGGAAAAGGGTTTTTCTAGGGAAGGTCGTCTTGGTGCTGAAGGGGCCGCTGCTTGTTGTGCTGTGTTGCTCAATCCCGCCCAGGTTCGCTAGACGTTGAAACGCCGCCATAGGGTGGGGAATGGGAAGGAGGCGAAGATGGGAGGACGGGGAGAGGAAGGAGGAGAGGAGGGGGGAGGAGGGGGGGAAGGAGGGGAAAGTGGGGGGGAGGGAGAGGGAGGGAGGGAGAGAAGGAGGGAGGGAGGGAGGGAGGGAGGGAGGGAGGGAGGGAGGGAGGGAGGGAGGGAGGGAGGGAGGGAGGGAGGGAGGGAGGGAGGGAGGGAGGGAGGGACGGACGGACGGACGGACGGATGGACGGACGGAGGGAGGGAGGGAGGGAGGGACGGAGGGAGGGACGGAGGGACGGAGGGAGGGAGGGAGGGTGGGAGGGAGGGACGGAGGGAGGGAGGGACGGACGGAGGGACGGAGGGACGGAGGGAAGGACGGAGGGACGGAGGGAAGGGGAAGAAAGCAGCTCCGCACCACTGCACCTGCTGTCGTTGGACAGTCAATGTGGAGGTCAGAACGAGTGCGTCGTGCCATTGTACCGAGGTGATTTTTGAGTCACACAGCGCTGCTAATAGTACTGTACAGCCCGAGGCGAGAACGAGCAGAAAAAGCGCAATAAAATCATGTTATTACGTGACTCAAAAGCAACGATGAAGTACCTGCTGTCGCTGGATAGCCAATGCCGAGGTGAGGACGAGAAGCAAAAGCGTAATAAAAGGTTGTTAAGTGACTCAAAGCGCTGTAAGTACCTGCTGTCGCTGGATAGCCAATGCCGAGGTGAGGACGAGAAGCAAAAGCGTAATAAAAGGTTGTTAAGTGACTCAAAGCGCTGTAAGTACCTGCTGTCGCTGGATAGCCAATGCCGAGGTGAGGACGAGAAGCAAAAGCGTAATAAAAGGTTGTTAAGTGACTCAAAGCGCTGTAAGTACCTGCTGTCGCTGGATAGTCAGTGCCGAGGTGAGGACGAGAAGGAAAAGCGCAGCCGCAAAAGCAATTTCCCTCGCGGCGCGCGGATTTTGAGTCGACTCAACAGTCTCTCTCGCGTGCCGCCACATAGTAATCTTCCTGTTTCCGCGATCATCGTCGCCATCGTCACAATCGTCGCCATCGTCGCCATCCTGCCGCGTTGGCGGTGCTTTCTCCGCCGCCCAGCTATGACCCCTAGTGAAAATGGTGACCATGGTTGGCTGCGCGGACATAGATATATGGAGAAGACTTGAGGTGTCGCGAGCAGACTCCTCGTGCGACTGCTCCTGAGACAAACCCTGCGACAGACCATCATGCGACGTTTCCTGCGACTGGCTGTGCGACAGTTTTTCTGTATGTTCAACCGTCGCCATGCCGCAGAATAGGGGACGGACGAAGCTTCGTCCTTGTACTGCCAGCTATCGATCGCGAATGTCTCTCACACTCACGGAACGGGTGCGTTCTCTCACTGTTGTCGCTCGCAGATGTCGCTCACGGCTGTCGCCGCCGCTCGCACTTATGTCGCTCTATCGGCGCTCGCTCACCGTCGCGCTGTCACTGCTTCCTCACTGCTGTGCACTCTCGCTCAGACATCCACCTTCACAGATTCCGTTGTAACGCCTACTATCTTACGCCGGAATTAACGTTAAGGAGAACGCGTCGAAAAAACTGCTAAGGGATTGCGAACAGATTAGGTACAATCCACTTATCCGAATGAGCGTAAGGGGCAGCAGGGAACTCCACTACACAAGGACGGCACAAGGAAGAAAAAATCTCAGAATATCCTCCTGCTTTTGCGATGCCCTGCCACAAGTGTTCTCGTTTGCGGTGCGGACGAGCAACCCGGGCCATCGTAGAGCGAGTGTGATGGGGGGAGGAAGGAAGGAAGGAAGGGGGGGAGGGGGGGGTTTGGGGGGGATTCAGAAAAGACGGCATCACGTCGCATCATTATCAGCGCCAGCACGTTTGGGATTCGTGAGCGGTTTGTCGTGCTTTCAGTCCTCACGCGAGTTTCGAATAATAGAGCTGGCCCCTGAAATGACCCTAGGTTTTGAGAAACCCCGCTGCGTACTGATAAGTTGTGGGGCTGTTCGGGAGCCCCGAAACAGAGGATGAGGACGCTGCTCAGTACCGACAACACACCAGTTGCATGATTGAACAGTGGCGACAGCTGTGCAATCAGATTCGCCAGCTGGAGAAAATGACAGACATGTGCATAGTCAACGCCACAAATTGAGCAAGAACGACAACCACCGCAAGCCGGGGGTCAAGATGCCAAATCGCCTCTGTCATCTCATCGGAACTCTCAACTTCCCATTTCCTCTCCAAACCCAAATCGTATTTTCTAAACCGAAGCAACCCTTGCAACACAAAAAAAAAACCACATCCACAATACAACTCAACGTACAGTTTCGTTTGTACAATGTTTGCCCTGAGTAATCACGATGATGAAACAGAGATGCCCAGCAAAGTTTCTTGAGTACTGAGCCTCACTTTCTCCTCGCCAGAGCATGGCGAGGTGAAAGTGAGCAGACAATTGCCTGTGATTACTGTGCAGTCAATGGACTGTAAGAGCAGCGCCTCGGAATCTCGAGCCGCTGCAGAGGAGAAGATGAGGTTGAAGGTTCCAAACCTGGAGGTTTGGTCACAAAAGTGGTCGCAATGGGGTCGCAGGCGATTTTCGGGCTTCCGAGCCTCGCAAAATTGATCCTCTGGATCTGGTTCTGCTCTTCCTCTCTTGCTCCCGAACACCGCCTGCGAGTCGGGAGGTCTGTGGCCCGTGGGCCAAAGGCGTGCTGCGAGACGGCTGCGCACTGCGAATCTGTTATGGAGAGAGCGCGGAATAACGAATAACACGATTGTGACTGAAGCACCCACGTTGGTATCAAATTACACTCTACAAGAAGTTTTGCAATTCTTACGAGAGCTATGAACTATATTACGGTCACTGTATCGAGTCCAGGTTCATCAGCATTGATCATTTCGAGATTTTTATTGGTTGTGCAAATCACAGTGTGACGGTTTGTGGTCTAACAACAACGTAATCGTGACGGAGCACAAGCCTTGCCATCCAATGTTTACCGTGAACGCCACGCGTACACAACATCGGCGGTAGGTGGTTTCAAAAATCACAACTGCTCCTTCTGGTAGTGGGGGTGTCGTTTCAACACAGCTGCTGCCATTCCCCATCTGGCAGCAGCTCCCATGGCATCAAAATGCCTGCTTCGTTTTCCTCCCTCACACCGGTCTCCCTAACTCCTTCCCTCCCTCGCTCTCTCCCTTTCGCGCTTCACAATTCAAATCCTCGTTCCCTATATCAGCTTGCCCGTCCGTCCCTTTGTCTCGCGCCTCCCCCACTCCCTTCGTTGATTTTGTCCGTCTCTCATCGCTCGTCCTCCCCTTCATTTCGTGCCTCCCTCGCTCCCATAACTCCTTTCGTTGCTTTCCTCCCTCGCTCGCGTCACTTTCTTCTTCGCTGCCTCAATTCTGCCTGTGCTCCTGTTGCTCCTTTTAACCCGTTCCTCCATCTCTCATTGCCTCTCACGTGCCTCCCTTGCTCTCACGGTCCTTGGCACCCTCGCTCCCTTAATTACTATTACGTATCGTCGCTCCCATCCCTACCCCTTTCCCGTGAGATATGAGGCCGCAGGTTAAGCTGGTGCGCGGCGTAGCGAACTGCAAAAGGCCACTGAAAATGGGGGGCACTTCGTGACACATGGATGTACGAACGATCTTCATGACCAAATCAACGCGTCGCCCAGCGACCCCACTATACTGCGGCGGGTCCGGTAGCGAGAACGTATGGCAGATACCCTGTGCAATACAGAACTACTCAATCTTGTCGAAGTGAAAGGCTCCGCCCTCACTTGGGCGCAGGCGTTTTCGACGCCGACATAGTGAATTCGACGAAGTGGTCGTTGGATTGGCTCTCGGGTTTGGACGACAAAGATTGCCGACCAGCACGTCCTCTGATCGACAGGTGGTACTCGACGAGCCCGCCCTCTGATCGGCTAGCCTGCCGACGAGCTCTGATCGACGGGTGGTTTTCGTCGAACCCGTCCTATGAACGACGGGCGCCCTTTGACAAGCTCGTCCTCTGATCGAGGGGCGCTGTTCGGCGAGCCTCATCTCGGCGAACTGGTCGGCCGAATTTGCTCAACTACGAAACTTTGCAGGGTGTGCGAATTTCTCCTACGAGGTTTTGGCAAAGTCGACCTGTGGAGCACCATCACGTGCTCAACGGTGGGCATCTGGCGAAACCGTCGACACGTTCTCTACCGTAAACCTGTACAATGTGCCTGACGGTGCAACCATCGACCTGCACCTTCTTGGTAGGTGCGCACATGTGCGCACATGCTCACCTACGGGTGTAGTGCTGGCATACCGCCTTGGGTGCAACGCTGGCAGGCCACCCTGCTGCAGAGTTGGCATGTCGCCCTTCTGCTACGCTGGTAGGCCGCCCCGCTGCAGCGTTGGCAGGCCGCCCTACTGCAGCGTTGGCAGGTCGCCCTGCAGAATGCTTGCTAGGTGTTGCAATGCCTTCCTTGTTATATCGGCTTGCATGCCTTCCTCGTTCTCAATTTCTTAGTGAAACTCTTGCCAAATTTCTTTGTAAACACAGCAACTAGTGAAAACGCTAGTACAATGCTACGATCACCTGCACAACCGCGTGCCCTCCTCCGTAGTCCATTTCTGTTGTAGAGTGACTCTCCGCATGGTGCGGTGAGCGTGGACGGCCCCCCGTTACAACCTTCAGGTCAGACGACTTTGAGCATTACCTAATTCGTTGTTAGGCTGGCAGCCGTCTTAGCCATGGTCGACCTCGTAGTCGAAGCAGGCGTAGAGGATACCCTGCAGGCGAGAGGCTGATGTTCGGGCAAGCCACGATGCTAGGAGTACGGTGAAGCGCGCAGTGGGTGTGCGAGCATCCCCCTCCCCATGAAGAAGCGGATGGTGCATCTGCCTCTCCCCGACCCGTGCAGAGGGAAGGCAACGACGACAAGCAAGTCAGCGAAGGAGGCACAAGGGTGACTCGTGGAGTGATTCGGGCCTCTGACGTCGTTGTCGGTGTAGTGCAAGCTCAACTGCTGCGGCCGTCGGCGACTGCAGGCAGCTCGCTTGGCGATGTCGGCGGTCGACGTCGCTCTCCTCAACGGAGTGGAGTCAGGCGATTGACCAACATTCGGATGGGAGAGCAGGAGTCGGCGACGGAGTACTACTATCGAGCTCGACGAATTTTGGCAGACATGCGGATGGTCGATGTCGACTCCTCCGTGGCGTCATATGTCACGCACGTCATCAAGGGCATCCGCACGAGCTACAATCTGATGCGCCGGATGCTGACATTACGCAGCGTGCCCGAGACTCTCAACGAGGACTTGCTTGCGAGCCACATCATCCAGGACATGTTCATGGAGGAGTCTGAGCGGCCCACGGAGCTCCTTCCACAGGCCAAGTACGTCGCCCCAACGACGCAATGAAGTCAGCCGGGGCAGCGAGGGAAGACGGACGGAGGCGGAGGCAGTGGCGGAAAGTCTGACGACGATCAGAGAGAAAGCTGCGGGAAG